TTCATATTTTAACATTTCAGAAAGGTAGCAGGAAAAAACAGAACAGAAAAATAATACCCATCAAGAGTAATTTTTAAAATTATTGTACTTGGTATTTTTTTCTTAGACTTCATTTTTGGCCAAGTGGTACCTAGTACAAACATAAGTGTAAGTATTACCTGAGGTCCTACTAGGTGCCAAGCAGGGTTCCAAGTGCTGAGGTTTCAAGCAGTGGTGAAGAGAACAGTCTGTGCTCTCAGTAAGTTAATGGCATGAAGATAAATAAATATTAAAAGTGAACCTATGCTATGTCTGACAATAAGTGCTAGGGAGGAAAAAAAAAAAAAAAAGCAGAGGAAAAGCTTCCAGAATGGGGGAGGCAAAGAGGGAGATGTTACAAATTTAGAGAGTGATCAAGGAGAACTCCCCCAAAAGAGCACATTTATAGAGATCAGAGTGAAGCCAGGATGCAAGACTCAGAGATTTCTGGGTTAGATTATTCTGGGCAGGATTTTGCTGATGCATGGAGATAAGATGTGAAAGAGAGAGAGGAGTTAAACATAACTCTAAGGTGTTTGTTTTGAGAACACCCCAAGGGGAGCAAGTCTGGGGAAAAATCAAGAGCTCATTTTTTTTATTATTCTCAGTTTGAGATACCTTTTAAACAGACGCCCAAGAGAAGGAGTCATTAATAGGCAGTTAAGAATATAAGTCTGGAATTCAGGGGAAAGGTCCAGGCTGGAGAAAATACATTTGAGAGTTAGTAGATTATAGATGGAATCTAAAGCCATTAAAGGGGTAGTGATAACATCACCTGGGAAGTAAAGATAAAGATGAGGACACAGATCCTTTCTTTCATTATCCAGTTGCTCCTAGAGAGAGAACTAAATATTCTAAAATGAAGTGCAGAAGACAAGACCAGAGAATCCAGAAATAGTTTAAATTATTTACATTCGGCAGATATTTATGAGCATCTGCTATTTGCCAGACGTTCTGCTAGCTGTTGGGTAGCAACATGGTAGCCAGGCATGGGCAGTGCCTTCCAGTAGCTCACATCCATCAAGATGTGAGGACTAGAGATAAATCTGGGTACATGTTGACCAGCAATAAAGAGGAGTGGCAGCAAAGTAACAATGGAAGCATAGAACTAATTCCAAGGTCTGAGAAGGAAAGGAAACTGCCTTTTAATCTCTCTCTCCAGCAAAGACAAAGCAGGCCAATGGGAACCCCAGCAACAAGATAACAAAAAACACAAATTAGAAAAGAAGAAAAAAGTAGAATCACAGGGAAGAAAAACAAAAGGCAGAGATTGAATAGCGTCACCCTTAGCTATAAACTAGCTCACGAAAGTGAAACTATTAGTCACTCAGTCATGTCTGACTCTTTGGGACACCATGGACTGTACCTTCCAGGTTCCTCTGTTTATGAAATTCTCCAGGCAAGAATACTGGAGTGGGTTGCCATGTCCTCCTTCAGGGGATCTTCCCAAACCAGGAATCAAACCTGGGTCTCCTGCATTACAGGCAGATTCTTTACCATCTGAGCTACCAGTTAACTAGGTTATACCTGGCCTATATTTTAATCAGAATTCAAATGTCCAGAGGCAAACAGGGGCTTATATATTATTACAAAGGACAGGTTTCACTGAGTTGTGCAAATACCTTCTCAGCACATATAGTATTTCATCTTTAAATCAAACAACACTCCTTCAAATGGTATGCTGGTGAAACTTTCAATCATATTTCTTAATTCAACTTCAGTTGCTATAACAATAGAAAAACATTTCCAATATTTCTCAATACTGAAGCAACCTTCTAATACAAATGGAAGTGTATGGTTGAAGGAGGTCTGGGATCATTGAAGAGAAAATATTGCCAGAATTTAAAAAATAGAGAAAAGCAGGAGGAAGAAGAGGAGAAGGAATAAAATAGTCAACTATTACATGAAGGTAATTCAACAATCACTTTTTGGGGGATTACCATGGATGCTTTATGGAATCAAGCAAGAGTTACAGGGCTTTGTATGGCACCTACTTGGGTTCACTTTTGGCAGGTTAGTTGTTAGGTTTGGAATGACTTCACCACAGGGCGTAGGACCCAACTTGGCAAGGAAGTTGATTCTGACACTAACATACTTTTCTTGAACTCTGGCATGGAGTCCTATCCATTATTCTGATTTTGAAAAAAAAAATAGCCACAGTTAAGTTGGTGAGCCATTTCTTACAACTTTATCCATGAATATGATGGAGCAACCAGCTGGAGTAACTCATACTGAGGTCATGGCAGCCAGTTTACACTGCAGGGTGTGAGATGAGTTAGGTGGGGGCAGAAGTTCCTCCCTCAATTATATATGTATTGGGAACCCTAAGTCTCTGGATGGGGAGAGAATAAGAACACGACCTTGCTAGCTTAAGTTTGAGAGGAGTCAACAGTCTTGGGACATATCTATCTGAGAGAGTTTTCGAGTTCTGGAGCAGGAAATGGAAGTACCAATGTGATGATGGTGAGGCAAGGATAAGAGCTCACATACTTATTAAAACATATTTACTAAGCTTTTATTATTTATCAGGACTGTAGTAATATCTGAGAATAAATAATGATCAAAATTCAACACACAGTAAACTCCCTTCCAATAGACTTTACAATCTAAAGTAGGGGTCTTCAAAGTGGAGGTACAAGCACCCTACAGACTGAACACGATGTGACAATCAGGAAATTACAATGCAGAGTGAAAAACGCCCTAATGGAAATCAAGATACACAGATAATAACTAAAGCGTCTGTCAAGAGCATGTGAAAAGACATCCTTTGGGAGATAGGAATAAAATTATAATAAACTTTATATTTACTTTTATCTTAAAATGAGAAAAAAATTTAATATTTAATGTATGATAAACAGTTACATAAGTCCATGTGCATGCATGCTAAGTCTCTTCAGTTGTGTCTGACTCGGTGCGACCCTATGGACTATAAGTACATCAGGCTCCTCCGTCCATGGGATTCTCCAGGCAAGAATACTGGAGTGGGTTGCCATGCCCTTCTCCAAGGGATCTTTCCAACCCACAGATCAAACTCAGGCCTTTTGTGTCTCCTGCATTGGCAGGTGGATTCTTTACCACTAGCACCACCTGGGAAGCCCATATAAGTCCATAATTTAAAATAAATACAGATTTGGTGGTTCAGATAGTAAAGAATCTGCCTGCAATGCACGAGACCTGGGTTCGATTCCTGGCTCAGGAAGATCCCCTGGAGAAGGAAATGGCAACCTACTCCAGTATCCTTGCCTGGAGAATTCCATGGACAGAGGAGCCCGGCAGGCTATAGTCCTGAGGGGACTATAGTCCTGGGGTCGCAAAGAGTTGGACACGACTGAACGACTAACCAACAACAACAGATATTTTGATAGTATGGGTTTAAAACATTTTATTGATAGGTAAACACAATAAAAACAATTCTGTGTGGTATAAAACTTGAGATTTTTGGAATATCAAGTTACATTTGAAAATTTTAAAACCTGTTAAGATAGATTTGGATAGGGTGACAGAGTTGAACCAGCTCCGGCCTTGAACTTCCAGCAGAAGAGTGAAGAGTAAGGGAGGCATCTTTGCTCAACTCTTCTATGCCTCCGACAGATGCTTTTTCACATGCCCCTTGACAGAAAGTTGTTCATCAATTTATGTATCTTGACTTCTGTCAAAGCAGTTTACCATTCTGCACAGCTGTTGTTTCCTGACTGTATCATTTTACATGGGGAGGGAATTCTTGCAGTTTTTTACACCAAGCATAATATTGAAAACTGCTGTCAGTGTTGGTGGAGTAGAATGGCAATCAGATATTAAAAAGCTCAGTTATTTGTGTATGTTTACATTACCTAATTTGTATATACTTTGAACCTCTTAATTCTTAAGGCAATGGGCAATGGCCCAGTGCCTGGAACACACCTGGCACATGATAAACATCACATTGTAAGTATGTAAAATAAATTTTCCTGCATTAAATAGGTGGCTGTGTTGGATCCATGGGCACTGGGTAACAGAAATACAATTAGAGTGCACTGGGAGAAAGGTTTAATTTCTGAGACCTGATATGAAGAAAGCATAGCATACCAGGATGATGAACGCCTTAAATTATCCAAATATCAATGAAAAACAGCAAGGATCTACTCATGCCCCGAACACAAAGCACTTTGTCTTTTGTGCTTGTCACAAAATATGTCACTTACTCCATCACCTTATTTCCTACAAAAAGTCTTGAGGAAAAATGGAGTTGGCAGTGACCACTAAGAGAAAATCAGAATCCCTAAGAAAAATCACGGTAAATCTACCAACAGGGAGTTAAGCTATAGCATCAGTTTCCAGCGCTTTTTTTGTTGCTGCCCTATTTCATTAGCTCTGGTACTCTCCGTAGGCATTTAACCCTTTCACCTGAAATCAAGAACTGGCTCCCTTCCAGAACCCGCGAGGAGACAGCACCACAGTGGGCATCTGCCGTCCAAACGCAGCCACACAACCCTGCCACGCCTGGCACTGAGAGAAGCGGAGTTCAGGGCATCAGGAACTTCACCGGTGCTATTGCGCAGGCTCTGCGTTCCACGCAGGCTTATTAGGAAGAAAGCGGATAAAATTGCCCAGAGACACGTGAACCAGAGGGGACCAACCCGGACCACGGCTCTCCACTGCATCGGATTCTGGAATTTACAATCACGAAAGTTCTATTGTCTCACGATTGGCTCCCGGGCCGCATGACATCATAGCGCTAGATTCGGCCTCCGGACGGCGATTGGCTGGCCGCGCCATTGTGACATCACGGTCAGCCCAGGTTCTGATTGTAGATACCCGGCGCCTTCCTCTTCCCATCGCCGCTGCTCCTGCTGGCCGATACCTCCCTCCAGCCTCCTCCCGGCTCGGCTGGTCCCCGGGCTCCGCCGCCACCGCCGCCTAGCCGCTTCTCCGAGCCGCCGCTGCGCTCGGCCTAAGAGGTAAGCGGGCGGCTCCGGAAAACTTCGGCTGGCCGCCGCTCGGCCATGACACCCGCGCCGGCGCGCGGCCGGTACCGAGGGATGCAACCCGGCGGTTGGGTTCTGAACCCGGTGCGCACGAGCGACTGCCGGCCCGGCCCGCGCTGCGACCGCGTGGCGAAGGAGCCCGCCGGACCCTGGTCTCAGGGCGCGACGGCAGGCATCTCGGCCGTTTTGGCGCGATGCTGTCTCACCTGTTCAGCGGTGGAAGCCGCCGGCAGCGATGTGCCCACTGACTGGCGCGGCGGGAACTCACCCGGCTCGTCTACGGGAGGCAGGGCGGATGGGCTCTGCGCTCGGGTTCACCCGCCCGGACTAGATGAACGCGCGGCCGGAGGTCCAGGGAAGAGCCCCGAGAACGATCGCGCTTCCTCGGAGAACAAAACCCGCGTGAGCCGGGAGAACCACCGCGGGGCCGGGGGGTCGCGGCGCGGGTCGGTCCCCTCGGGCCTTTCCTTTTCTCTCTTGCCCTCCCGCCTCTGCCCCCGCCCCGGAGGCGAGCCCGCTAGCCTGGGAACGCTTCGGTCTTTATTAAAACCAGATAACTGTAGCCAGCGGTCCTCGGAGAGGATGAGGCCGGTGGGGAAGCGCGGGGGCGGGGACTCGGGAACCACCTGGGCTACTCTTGAGGGAATCGGGGCGCGAGGGCGGTGGGGTCGCGGGCTGGAGCGGCTCGCGGCCAGGTCGTGTCTGCTGCGAGTAGCAAGGAAAAGTCCTCTTTCACAGTTTAAACGCAGATAAGACTCGCCCCCCACCTACCCCAGCGTTCACAAGCCCGCCTCGGGGTGGAGGGAGTCGTGCCTGGAGCAAGACTTGTTCTTCAGAACTGTGTCTTGCAACCAACCGTTCCGTGCCCTTGCACTTTTAGGGTGATGGTTTCCCCTGCTCACGACTGTAGTTGAGCTCAGCTCTTGGCTTCTTGATTGCAAATTTGGATAATGCACTTGGCCCACTTTGGGGTGGGGGTGGGGAGTCCCGAATGGAAGAATCCAGTGCATGACCTACGAGCTGGGCTGCGGAACCTAGGGTTGCGACGGGAGAGTGAGCCTTAATTCTTTAATAGCAGGACCGGTGGCAGGAAGTGCTTTCTTTATAGAGTGGCACGGAAGAGCTCGTGTTGCTTGTTAGGTTTTGTAACTTAGGTTTTGTTTCCCTAACCACACAGTAGGTAACCTGTTGGTTTGCACTTGTTTTGCTTGCACCTCTCAGCCAACAGCACTTGGGGCAGAATCTAGAGATACGGATACAACCTGTTTGGCGTTCGGTGGCTGTGGATGAACCCTATAACTTTCCATCCGCAGTGAGGGGACAAGCGCATCACTTTTTCAGTCCGCTTGGATGCTGTTCGCGATTCTCCAGGGAAATCTCAGTACTTGAAAGAGAAATGTCACTCATGTCCCTTTTACATTCTTACCCTAGATTATAACTTTTCATCGGCAGGAAGTTTTTCTAGACAGATTGTTTTTCGCATTTCTTTTTTGTTTCTAACTGAAAACAAAAGGAGGAATGTTACTGATGGTCACTGATGGCTAGTTTTACAGAATATAGAACAGAACTTAGCTGAAAGTGGAAGTAGAGAGTGTATTAAGATTTGATGGTCAGATTTTTTTTTCATGAACAGTACCTCATTACTTCAGATTCTGTCCTCAGCTTCTTGACTCAATTTCGAAATCGTTTCTGTCCACTGGTTTCATGTTGCAGAATTGTTAGGGATTCCATGATATGATACAGTTGAAAGTGCCCAGGATGGGAGCTTGCCAAGTAGTGGTTTGATAAATGTTTCTTCTTCACTTATTTTTCTTCTTGGGGAAGGGGAAGTGAGGTTTAGCAGATGTGGCCCGGAATAAAGCTGGAGAATCTCAAATAACTGAGAAAATATTTAAAACTAGGTTTTCACAGACACATTCCAGCAAAGCCGCAGTTGAAAATGAGGTGAGTTATCCCTTTCCCTGGGATCAACTGAGCTTTTTCTTTGGGGGCGGGGAGAGGTGTCAGAATTCTTAATTAGGGGATGTTTGCAAGGATCTCTTTGCCACTACCTCCTTGTTTTCTCTCAGCATAACTGTTGATTGTCCTCCTGTTTGTAGAAGTGAGTATCTGTCCTTGGGTGTCTTATTTCCAACTTGAATTACAGAAATCACGGCAAAGCTGTTTACCATCTTCTAGGGTGACTTTGATGCCTAAGTAGATAGTAGAGAGTATGAATGATGGTTCTACTTTTTACTCAGCCCCTCACTCGGCCATATCCTGTCCCTCTCCCCCTAAGAAAATTTCTAATTATTTTTAAGCCCTTCTTTGTGCCTACCAACTCTTATGTTACTGATGGGAACAGTTACTGTTTCCCTTAGTTACCCAATGGGTTTGTCTTTGCATACATTCAATTTCAGGTATTACTGATGTGGGCACCTTCCTATTAATAGTTGCTTTCCATAGATAATTCTTACAGCCTCACTGTGGGAAGTGATATCCCCTACCTCTTTTATAAAGAATTGAGAACTGAGGCCCAGAGATGCCAGGTGACTTGTCCAAATCATGTAGATCTGTCTCCTGCAACTTACCTGTCCCATCCTCTGTCCTTGTGCTGCTTGGATTTGTTCAGTGGGCCCTGCCCTTTATTGAACTCTGTTAGTCTGTAACTTAAAAATCTAACCTCATGATTAAAGGTTCATCTTCAGGCCATCCAAGATTAACAATTTGCCATCTTTCACATCTGTAAAGTCTGTTCTTTCCTTTTAGCCCACATTTGATTCACTCTATAATTTATTGGCTTGTCAGTTACTGAGTGTGTGCTGTGTGTGTGTCTTAGGGTTGTATACAAAGCTGAACAACACAGTTTCTGACTCCAAAGGGCTTTCTGAAGTGGCTTATACTTTAATCCTTTTACACTTGTACTTAATCTGCACCTTAGACTAGAAGGGGATCAGAAGCAGATTTCGGGGGGGGGGGGGACTTGTCTCACTGTATCTGGGAAAGCTTTATGGCAGAGCTTGCCAGGTTATCCACACCTCACACTGCCCAGTTGGTTAGGATGCTTTTTGTGCAAGAGACAGTGAACCCAGTGCCAGATGGGCTTAAATGACCACCCGACCTGAAAAGTCCCGTAGGCAGAACTTATGTTCTGTTTCTCTGAAGTCTTCTCAGATGTTTGTTATGTCCATAGGCTGATCTTGCGAGATGACTGCCAGTTACAGACTAGAACCCCCTGTTACCATATTCACATGTGGGAACTTCCACCACTTTCCAGAGCGGGTCCTTTGCCTTGATTTAGGCCTTGGTTTCTTGACGCAATAACTAGAAGAGTGGAAGTCTGATATCCTGGATCCCATCCCAAACTGAGGATGTGGATTTAAGTTTCACCTCACCTACCTGGTTGCTAAACTACACCTTCAGGGAATGTCTCTGTGGATATAGTGGTGTTTGCCAGTATCAGCTAAAGGGCCTCCAAGGATGTCAGGCCCCATCAAAGAGAGAATTGAATTAAATGAAACAGAATGGAATCCACATCTGAATTTCAGCTTACCCATCATAGAGGAATCTTACAGGTGCACAGATGACGGGCATTCTAGGAGAGAAAGTTTAGAGAGCAGACAAGTGCACCGTTGGACATTAAAGCAAGTAGCCCAGATGCATGAAGCTGACGGGCAGAAGTGGAAAGAAAGGTTAGAAGGACAAGTAGTTGATAATAAGGGCTAACTTTTATTAAACTATTACTACGTGTCAGACTCTGCACTGAGCCCTTACATGGATTTTTCTCAAGTACTATTAGTTGGTACTCTAAGCAGTCTCACTTTACAGGTGAGGAAATGGAGGCTCAGAAGTTTAGATGCTTGCCCAAGGTCACAAAGCATTCTAGCCTGGGTGGTCTTGCCCTCCTAGCCTATTGTCTTTCCTGAGATGTCACAAGACCACTGAGGCTTTTGGACTGGAAGGAGTGTATCGTGAATGTTGTGCTCCAGGGACATGAGTGTTGTCAGAATGCGTGGGATGGATTGGTGAGGATGGACACAGGGGATATGAGGGCGGACTTGGAGGCTGTTGGAGTAGTCCGGGGCAGCGGTGAGGCCTCAGCTGGAGCCATGGCCACAAGCACAGCTGGAGCGCGCTAATCTTTTGAGAATGTCTCTAGGAGAAGATCTATGCAACTTGAGGACCAGCCGGATTGAGGGCCAGCAAGAGGAACGGTGCTCTCGGGCCTGGGGGTTAGAAGAACTGCAGTGTCATAGAGGGAGGGAGAGGAGGCTTTGTTCTGCAGTGGAAACATCTCAAGGGCCCCTGATCCATCCAGACAGGCCCTTTCCCCCCTCTGGTCCCCATTCCTCTTTGCAGCCAGTGTTTGCTGCATTCGAAGGACGTGTTTCCACCACATCTCATCAATTTTCAGACAATTTTTCACATTTTAACATACCTGGCTAGTGATAAAGCTTGTAATCAGTGACATGGTAAAATCACACGAGCCCTCTTTCCCATTTTAATATTACTGAAATCAGCGTGCTTGTGGATGAGAAAAGGAAAGTCTCAGTATTGGTGAGCTTGTGGAGTCAGTTGCTGGCAGAGTAAGAACCAAGGCCTCTGGGTCCTCTCATCCACTGAATTACCTAAACTCACATAAAATAAACATTGCCTTATAAAATAAACATTGTAATACAGGATTATAGTAAAGCACACGCGTGTTCCTTTGTTTATTGTAACGGAAGTAATCTGAGAGGTTTGGAAGGCACAGTGGTTTGGGTAGGGTGCTTCATCCTTGTATAGAACCTGGCTGCCCTGGTTTGTTATCCTAAACTGGCCATCAACCTTAAATCAACTCTGGGCGTTGGCCCTTTACTTTAAAACTAAACAGTTATACCAAGGTGAATTTCAGGATCCTTTCAGAACAAAAATTTTTTATTTCGCTTTTGCAGAGAGCAAATCCTTTGCTTCTGTTTGATCAGGAATAGAGAATGAAAGTTGAAATCCTTTAGGTCTTTGAAAGGTAGATGTCAGAAATCAGGGGTGGAAATTACAGTTTTCTCTTTAAGAAGTTAAACGTAACCGCTGGAGTTTTTCTGGCCTAGCAGAGTTAGTTGTTCAGAAAGGTAGATCCTCCTCATGTTGGGGTTTGTGTCATAGACGCGCCTTCCCATCCCATCCTGATTTCAACCCATAAATGTTACCATTACCAAGCCGCTTGGTTCCTTCTGACATGTTTCCTCCATGAGGATACTTTTATTTGACTCGAATACATTTGCTTTTAAAATTGTGTGGTCCCTGGATTGAAATAGTCATACTTGCTGAGTTTTTAGGAAGACTGAATCCTGTCCTCCCTGCCCACACCCCTTCTGGTCCCATTTGCGCGCAGTGGTGTGTGATAACCTCAGTGTTCCTTGTATCTTGCTAGACTTCAGTACCTTTTGTTTGATGTCTTCTTGCTGACTGGGGTTTAGAGAATAGTTTTTCACTTAAGATTTCTAGTGCTGGGACTCTCATGCTTTCTCTGGTTAGAATAACCATTTTCTTGAAACAACTGCAGCTTCAAATGACAGTCCTTATACTAAGTTCACACCCTCTTGTGAGCATATGCTCCTTACAGGTTCCATCTCTATGTTACAATTCTTCCCCTCTTGTCAACACTTTCACCTTGTCAGAGCTAACCTCTTATACATGCATACTAAACAGGCCTAATTAGAGCCACACTGGAGAGTTGGCCACTCCAGTCCTTCTCTGAGTTATCCTGAACCCTGGAGTACCTGTTCCTTTTGTCTTGGCACGGCACATGCTCCTACAAAGTAATTGATGTGAATTTCTCCTTCCCCAAAGAATAGTTCTCATGACACCGAATTCAGTAATTATTCATTTGCTTCACTGGGAAGTGTCGCCATGTGCTGATGTCCCTTGGGGGTAGCATTTAGGGTACCTCTGCTTCAGGCCTTGGCAGAAAAAGTACATTACCTTAATATTTATAGGAGCTGTTGACACTTGTGTCTGCCCTGTTTTTGAGCTGATATGTACCTTTGTGAAAGTTTGAGTTTACCTCTTACAAAACTTCCAAATGTTTACTATGGATCTAAAGTGCATTTATTAAAAGTATCTACTACATGCTTTTAAAAGTTAGCAAAGCAGTAGGGAGGGGACTGGAGAAGAGGCCTTTCAGGTTAGCAGCTGCATGGAACCAGGGGTCCAGCTGTGCCCTGAGAACTGGGCAGGCATTAGTGGGCCAATCGCTGTGCCTCTGAGACTTCTGTGCCTACTTTGGGGCGGAGGGGCTGTTGAGACTATCAGTATTATACATAAAAATTAAGTAGGGGACTGACTGAATTTGGTGAGCATCATTAAAAAAAAAAAAATCTCTCTATTGACTAGAACATGCACTGAAGCATTGTTTATAATAGAAGATTGAGTCAGCTGAATAATGTTCTTCAGAAGAATAAGTGATGCTGCATTTGAGCAGTGTAATACTTTGGGACTTAGGAGGAGGATGAGGCTGATTTGTGGGTGCTAAATACACTACGTTAGGTACTTTTCTAAGGTACCTCACCACCAAAGCCCCCCCATGAGGTAGGTACCCCAAGTTTTACAGATGAGGAAACTAAGGCACAGAAAGTTAGGTGACTTGTTCAAGGCTTCCCAGCTTGCAGGTGTCAGAGGCAGGGTTCGGATCCAGCCTGGTCGAAGGTGTCCAGCATCAGTTTCCTTGTCTGGCCCCAGTCCCACCTGGGTTTGATCTAGGATGTGTGTAAGACCTGAGCGGTGTGGGCTGGGAGGGAAGGGCACCCTCATCCTCTTGGGAGCCTCCTGCTTTCCCTTGGGCAGAGATGTACATCCTATGTGTTTTGAGAACATCTAGGTCCTTCTGACACGGGCCTGATTAAAGGCTGCTTGTTCAGGTTGTTGAGGCTAACACCTTCCCCACCCCTTTAGTTCTCCTGGGTTCTTTCTCTTTTAGGACTTCTTAGTTTTCTTTCTGGGTGTGGGTCCCTAGGTCTGACAATATTATGATGGCTCTAAGTACCATAATCCCTAAACTACGAGGATCACAGAATTCAGAGTGGTTTATATATTAGCATGGAATGTAACCAGGTGGTAAAATAACCGTTGGCTGTCGAGGAGATGATAGATAATTAGTGGGTTGTGTTTGCTTTTAAATATGCCACATGGTAGTAGGCTTTTTTCTTTTTTAAATACATTTTAACTCTGCCTGTTCCTCTTATCGCCCCCCTCGCACCCCGCACCTGAGCAATTATAAAATGTGGGGGTTTAGATTGAATTTTTTTTAATAAAAAAGAAATGTGTTTTCCTGTCATATCATTACTTATGTTACATTGTTTGAATTTAAAATCTAAGACCTTTTCTCTCGAGGGGGTGCATAACTTATCTCTGTTAATTATGTCCCTCCATTCTCTTTTCATTTCAGCTGAGGCTGTAACACTGCCTTTGTATATTTTGTAATGGATTATCTTGGAGAACATGATAATTTATTTTGAATATTCAAGGAATCACATCAGTTAAGAGGCTGCAGTCAGATTTAGAATTACAAGCAGCTGCTCACAGCAGATGATGTTGCTTAAAAGCCTCTTAAATGTTTATCTCCCGGCCACTTGCAATTGCAGTCTGATTTGTATGTTAGAAATGGGGTTGAAGTAGAGCTCAGTCTCCTGAAGCCGGGTCTTTAAGGGACCAGTTAGAGACTTGCAGAGGATTGCCTGTCCTCATCAGTGCAGCCGTTGATTGTCTACAAGTCTGCTTCACCCAAGAAGGTGGTTGCCTTGTGAAACAGGTCAGAGCTTCTCCAAATAAGCCCTTAAATACAGTGTTTTGGGACCTCATGTCCCGGAGAATGCTTTATGTACTATGCTTGTTATGGCAGCTCCTTCCTGTTTGCTTTGCAAGACATGGTAGTTTGGAAGAGGCTCAGTAACCCCAGAGGAAGGGGGCTCTGAATACAGAGTGATGGTGGGTGCCCTACATCCGGCCCTGGTACGGAGCTCCATGCTTGAGTTTACCATCTTTTTACAAATGAGACTGGCATGTTATAAAGGACTTCCAAAATTCAAAATGTAGGTGAATCATTGCAAAGTACTGTTGGAAACCCAATCTCAGTGGGTGATTTCCTTGTCCACGGATTCACGTATCCACCTGCCCACCTGCTGTCCATCTCAGACATTTATTTCTAATCCACTTCTGTCTTCTGAGCTCCAGATTCATCAGAAGCTCCCAACTTCCCATCAGCTGATTCACTTGGTCGCCCTCCACACCTGTCTCCCGTCTGCCGGCACGACCCGAAGCATCCCCGTCACCAGTTTGCCCAGGCCATCGGTGCCAGGGTCCTTCTCCCATCAACCACATCCTTCCTCCTTTCTTCTATCTGTCAGTCACCAGGTGTTGTCTATTCGGGCTCTGCTGTGTCCGCTGCCGCCCTGCCTTCACAGCACGCCAGCCCTTGCAGCCGGTTTCCCCTGGCTCCTTTCTGCCTCTCTCTGTTCAGGTCCCAACCTGGCTGTCACAGAGATCTTCTGACACGTCAGTGGGATCCACACACTCCATACTGAAAGCTTCGTTTACTTTCCCTTAGGGCCATCCTTGATCCCGCTTCACTTGCTGCCTGCACTTCTCACCTGAACACCCCAAGACTCACTTCTCCCCACCTGCCCTGTCAGCTCCATCTCTGCTCAGCACTGCTTCCTCGATTGCTCCCCACTGACAAAAACACACGAAAGCAAAGCCAACTAAACAGCAAAAAAGGCCCTGTTCCTTGTAAGTCAGACTCACACACCCTGGAACCTCTGATGCTATTTACTCAGCAGTTGCTACCCCTTCTGGCTCTTGTAACCTTGGTTATAGCCAGCTGACCTCTGTGTGCGTCAGCCTCCTCCTCATCAGGGGAGGACACCAAGTGCTTTCCTCCCCTCTCTGCTCCAGGTCTGGCATGTTCCCTGTGCATCCTTGGTACCTGTGTGCTGTGTGGCATGTGGTAGGTATCTGGCAATTATTTGCATAAATGTTTCTCTCTCTGTGTACCTTTTGGGTATAATCAGTTCTGTAATCTGTGCTTATGGCTTTGTGAAGGGTGAGTATGCCTCAATAGCCTGAGAAGTTTGAGAGTTTGTAACACTGCACAGATGAGGAGCCCACCCGGGAAGCCAGCCCTGGGAGGCAGCAGCCTTAGGGGGCTGGAGTCCCTCCTTAGGGTTGCTATTCCCCCAGCCAGGCTGAGGGAATAAAGCAAATTGCTAGACATCCCCCCGCTGTCTGCCAGGAGCAGAGGTTGCTGTTTCAACGTGCTGTGTTAAAGGGCCTTGCTTATTTTATTTGCATGTTACCTGGTAGAGCTTTTAGGTGGAATGAGCCAGGGATTTATTGTGGCACTGTGCCCAAAGAGGAAAGGGAACGCACGCTGGTGTCTAACCTTTCGGCTATTCCCTGGTCAAATAATGGTCGAAACTGACACTCTCTTTTTAACCTAATTTTGGTTGGCCTCAACACTGAGCCAAGTTAAGGCGGCCCATGTAGGTTGGACGGAGTCTGTCTGCTTCAGTTGCCACGTGGTCACTGATTCACTGACCATGCGCACTTACTCCCCATCGTGTTCTCTGCTGCCCCCTGCTCTAGCACTTGGATCCTGCAGAGACATACGACAGTACACCTACTGACAGATCGTAACCCAGTGGGAGAGGTGAGGTGTGAACCTGGCGCAATAGATCATTATTGGTGCTGTGGGTAGGGCTGTGTGTTGCCACTAGGTTTGAGTGCAAGTGACAGAGACCCCAGAATAATGGCTCCACTGATGGCATCTCAAAACAAGGTGTTACTTGTATTTTGCACAAAGGGCTGGGGAAAGGGTACAAGGATGACCAGCTTGCAGGCTCCTAGCTCACTGTGTGTCGGGCTCAGAGGCAGCAGGATGGAGAAGGAGACGCAGTAGAAGGGGCTGAGGATTCAGTCGTGTTTTCTCTTAAGGGAAGTTCCCAGAAACCAACCCTCGACAGTGTCGCTTATGTCTCCGTTAGCCAGGACTTTAAACATGCAGCCTCACGAATCTGCAGACAGACTGAGAATTCTCATCTTGATTCTGAGTGGCTGTGGGCAGCTCAGAGTCCTGCCGCTGTACCCGGAATCCTGGTGACTGCCCCCTAGCCTGTACTAGGGTGGATGAGAGTGACTGTGCCTCCCACGTGGAAGTTGGAGTCTGTGGAAGAGACTGACAGGGAACAGATGCTGGTACCATAGTGACGAGCACTGAGAGCGCATTGTGGGGTGCTGCGGGCAGACAGGAAGGGACCCCCTAAATCAGACCCAGGGGGCCGGGGAAGGGTGCCTGGAGACTGAGCAGACATCTGCCTGCTGGAGAGCAGAAGCGGGCGTTCAGGCAGAGGCTGTGAAGGAGGAGGCAGGTAGCACATGAGGAACTGATTATAAGGAGAAGCAAAGGAGGATGCAGGGGCCTGAGGCCACATTGAGGGATCTGAGCATTGTCCTAAGAGCCTTTAACTGGTTTTGAGAGGCATAACCTGGAAAGATGCTCTTTGGGAAGTGGGAAGCAATGCCAAGACCAGAGGCAGGGGACTCTCCATCAGGAGGGAGTGCAGTAGTTCAGCTGATGTGATGCTGACCTTGATTGGATAGTGGCTTTTGGGATGGAGGATTTCCTAGAACTGGGAGCAGATTTAGAAATAGTTTGGGCTGCTTTTCACCGGACAGCTGATGAGAGCAAGGCGGAGAGATCAGATGGCGGGGCCGGGCCGCACAGTCAGCTGGCAGCAGCACTGGGGCACCCCCCCCCCCCCCGCCTGAACTCTTTGTGTCCCTGCCGAATGGCCAGCTGGGGCCACAGTGCTTTGTTGGGCGTCGGAGAGGGCAGGTGGTGTGTGAGCTGGAGCGTGGAGAGCGTCTGCCGGGGCGAGCACGGTGCAGGCCCTGGAGTGGCTGTGAGCAGAAGTGGGTGAGCTGGGTGCTCCCAGTTCTGCAGGTTGAGATCAGTACGAGGGGACTTCAGGGAGATAAAGTAAATCCCGTGGGAGTGTTTCGAAATCAAGGAAGGCTTCCCTGTAAGATTAAGTGGTTTAGGCTTAACTCTTTAAGCACTGGGGGCCAGTTAACATTTGGTGTTAAAGGACTGACTGGAGCTTGACGGCATGTTGGCCATGCCCAGATCCTCATATCAGGTGCTTGCGGGCAGCAGAATAAAGTCCCTCAGAGATGTGTCCCAGCGCCCCACCACTTGTGACCGTGTGGAGAATTAAGGCTGCCCGTCAGCTGGAGCGGCCTAGGTTTTCCGGGTGGGCTCAGTGTAACCAGCCCCCAGGGGCCGTAAGGGGCTTCCCCCGTGGCTCAGCTGGTAAAGAATCCGCCTGCAAGGCAGGAGACCTGGGTTTGGTCCCTGGGTTGGGAAGATCCCCTGGAGAAGGGAAAGATTACCCACTCCAGTATTCTGGCCTAGAGAATTCCTTGGACTGTGTAGTCCATGGGGTCGCAAAGAGTAGGACATGACTGAGCGACTTTCACTTTCAGTTTTCAAGGGTCCTTAAATGTGGAAGAGGGGGGTTGGAAAGAATGAGAAGGGTGGGGTGTGAGGAGACTGGGCCCAGTGTTGCTGACCTTGAGGACAGAGGAGGTAACAGTGGAGTGATGGAAGGCAGCCTGTAGAAGCTGGAAAAGGCCAGGAGAAGGATTCTTCCATAAAGCCTCCAAAAAGCAGTCAGGCCCATGCCTTGATTTTAGTCCAGTGAGACCCATTTTGGACTTCTGACCTATAAGATACACTTGTGTTGTTAAAAGAACTTCTGGGGCTTCCTTGGTGGCTCAGACGGTAAAGAATCTGCCTGCAGTGCGGGAGACCCAGGTTCGATCCTTGGGTCATGAAGATCCCCTGGAGAAAGGAACGGCAACCTGCTGCAGTATTCTTGCCTGGAGAATTCCGTGGACAGAGGAGCCTGGTGGGCTGCAGTCCATGGGGTCACACAATTGGACACGACTGAGCGACTAATACAACAACAAGCCACTAAGTTTGTGGTCCTTGGTTACCTGACACAGCAGTCAGTAAGTGTGTGCTGAGTGAATGAGTTGAGCTTTAAGAGATCAGTGTGAAAGATGTATGGATTAGATGGATTGGATGCGGGGAGGTTCTGGAGGCCAAGGAGTTCATAGAAGACCGTTCTGGCAAAGAGGTGATAGGACAGGACAGGATGGGGGTAGGGTGACTGGAGTCACAGGGCTGGCCTGGGATCCATGCAGGGGGGAGCGTGCTTTCAGGACTGGGTTCCTGGAAGGTGATTGGGCAAGAGCAGAATCACCTGGATGGAGTCAGGAGGCAGGGAGGCTTGGCTTGTTGGGACTGAGGTGCAGACGCACCATGTATATGTCGGTGGCACAAGCGCGTGGAAACAGCGCTTGAGTGTGGGATTGGGGATACAGGACTGGGTGTCATTGGTCATGACTTATCTGTTCCTTTTCTTTAAATTTTTTTATGGTGAAGAAACTCAGCAGCTCTTTTGAAGGATTTAATAGGTCACATTCCTTAACATTAAGAAGTTTTTTTCCTAGAGTTTTTTGTCTACATTTTTTTTTCTGCCACTTGAATTCTATGAACCTTTAAAAAAATTTTAGCAAGTAAAAATAAGTCAATACTAAATTATTGTTTTAAAAAACTAGAAATAACATAATCTCACGACCCTTGCATAGTTCACCTTGTGTTGGATGTCATCTTCCCAGAAGCGTCTGTGGCTCCCTTTGGTCTGTCAGCCAGCCAGTCACTAGTGGTCACTACCCCCCACCACACATACACACCCCAGGTCCTGACCCTATCAGATCTCACCTACTGAGCTGGGGAGGATGGAGCCTAAACAACACTTGGCTTGTCCTAGCAAAAGGGAAATGGATGGTACTTGCTAGAAAATAAAATTTGTTTTTTTAAATATCAGTTTGCCACTGAACTATATATACACTTGTTTTAGACTTGGTTACGTCCTGAAAGTCCTTGGTTTCTGAATTCCTTTGTTCTTTATAATGAACTTGGTTGCAGTGATTGAAGTGACAAGTGTATTGGCGATGGAGGTGTTTTCCTGTAGCACCACACTCATTGCCTTCCTACTTGTCTGTTGCTGCCGTCTTCCCTCTCTGATCACTGACCTTCTACTTGGTGGCAGTTGCACCATGTAATTTGCATTTACAGGTTTTCAGTGAAGATTGTACTAAATTTAACTTTGATAAAAGTTTAAAGCCTGTAAGATGAGTTGACCGATAATGGTGGCGCTAGTCATAAAGAATCCACCTGCCAGTGCAGGAGACGTAAGAGACACAGGTTTAATCCCTGGGTCCAATCCCTCGGTCGGGAAGATGCCCTGGAGAAGGGCATGGCAACCTACTCCAGTATTCTTGCCGGGAGAATCCCATGGACAGAGGAGCCTGGCAGGCTGCAGTTCATGGGGTCACAGAGAGTCAGACACGACTGAAGTGAGTTACCATGCACAATGTCCATAAACCACATGTGAAGAAAATTAGTTTAATTTCAAGGAGTTCCATTTCATTCTCCAGAAAAGGAAATAAGATTATTTCCTTCTTCTTCTTAGAATGAAGATCCCATTCATTCTAAGTTAACCAACTCAACTTTCTCTTCTTTCTTCCCTTTGCCCGTTGATTTGGTTAAATAAGACTTGTGGGTGCTACCTCGTGCGTTGTCTTTCACATCAGTTGGTACCTTGGTAAGACAGAGCCCCCACAGTATCCAGGAAGTGTAACCAAGTATAGCAGAGTTAAGCCATGTTGATCAGGAGGTGGGAGAGGATGCGTTGGTCCCATCCCCAGAGCCGCTTCTTGAAATTTCAGCTACTGTCCCCTCGAAGCAGTCATGATGTTTCTTTTCTCTTGAAATCAAATTGTTTCCCTTAATGAGATGGTCAGCGTGGCATGCAGTCATTTTCTCTGATGTATTCTAATCTCAGAAAGCAAATAGAAAAACATTTTATAGAGAAACCT